TCCTCCCAGCACTTGTGAATGGGAATCCACACTGTAGTTGAACGGCCCGCAGCTGCTGTTGCAGCTCCTGTCTTTGACCTGTACCTGGCCAGCCTGGTCCCTACTGGAACCCAGGGAAGCCACCCACACTGCTAGATATACACAGAAATGTAGAATAACTCTCCCCTCATACAAATAATACGGACAGCCTACAAACAATAATACATACAATCCGCACAAACGTAACCCGCTAACAATCCACATACATGCACATAACCCCACATGCAGCCTCTAACATGCAATACCCCAAACAGCCCCACACATACACACACTACCAAATACACAATGTGACATGCGACATATCCATCCACACACAATTCCACAAGCAGTCCTCATACACAGCCCACATTCATAGGTATCATACACAATACCACAAACTACTCCTGAACATATACAATATAATGGCTCATATACGCACAAATACAATGATACAAAGCAATTACAGTATAAATAACAAGCATAATACGGCAGCATACACACCTCAATTTTAAAAAATAGGTCTGGCACGCTACAGGACATCACAATCCTATATCGGCACAGTGCTGCTAAAAGGTTGCCTACCCCTGTACTAGGATAATGTGTGTGTTGCGTTTGTGGGCCCATCTCAGTAGGGTGTGCCTTTTGGTAGGGGAATTGAGTTCCCTGGCTTGATCAACACACATTTAAGGGTGAGGGGCATTTTGGTGGTGGGGGTCATTGTGGGGGTTATATGTGGGGGTCATGGTGGGGGTTATATGTGGACTGAATGGGTAGTTGTTGTGGCGGTAGTGGAGGTCCCAGGGCTGGGATGCGGAGGGCCCCGGGGGTTCCGGCTGATGCAGTAGAGGTAGGAGTAAGTGGACTACTGGGCTTATCCGTTGGGCCAGTAGGAATTGGGGATGTTTGCCTGGCAGCTCCTCTCTTAGGTTCTGGTGGGGTGAAAGGGGTAAATAACAGTAACTGACAGTCTGTCAGAGTCTCGCATGCAGGCATGTCCGGTTGTGAGGTCAAACCCTGCGGTAAGGTCAGGGAGACCAGGAGTCAGCGCAGCGCCCCATCCCCGGACCCTGCCAAGAGGGGAGGGGGCCCGGGAATGTGCGGCAGGCACCCTCTGTCTGGGTGTCCAACAGGAGCGCAGAGGCCCGCACATTTCGTATGCACAGGCAGCTACTGCAATCACCAATCTCCCGAACTGCAAACACATGAATTCTCCAACTCCCAAACTGGAACCATACGAATCCTCCAACTCCCGAACAGGAAACACATGAATGCTGTTAAACAGCCGAACAGGAAAAACCATACGAACAGCTTACACTCCTGGCAGTCGCACTGTAACAGCATCCAATCCAATTCCCCCCAAGAACGAGATGATACTTCGTTTGAGGATCAAGCAGAACTGATTTACTGGGGCTACCTGCCTGGCTTATATGCAGGTCTCCCACCTTATGGACACTCCCCTAGGGGACCAGATGGGAAACTGGGACACAAAGGGTAAAAGGACCAATCACAAGCTTACACATGTAAACAGATCCCACAATGCATTGCAATCCCTCCTCTCAGTCCTGGAGATAATTGGGAAGTAATCCAATTATCTCCAAGGACAGAGGCAAAACTCCATTAGCCACATGTTAGTAAAAAGACATAAAATTACACAGTGTTACAATTACTACATAAAACATATACATTTAACATATCCCCAGATAGCTTAGATCTGAGCGCACATTATTACTGAATGGCGCTCAGATCACATACATACAGTTCAATCGCCATGGAGCTAAAGTCTTTCCCATAGTCTTTCGGTGTACGAATGGGCTCCATGGCTTAGCTATCTGGGGTAACATTGCTCACAGAGGGAAAATAAAAGGTTTTTAATGCAGGGCCATAGTCCAGCGGCAAGAGGTGGTCAACCAGGTTCCTCCAGTGGCCAGGTTGGTTCCGCCACAAACCAAGCTGTGCGGGGGGGCCTAAGGCTTACGGAAAGAGCTAGTGGAGTGTCTTTATGCTGGTGAGGAGGATGTACTGGTGCAGGGCCGCCATCAGGGGGTGACAATCGTGACTGTTGTCACGGGCCCGGCCGCCCTGGGGGACCCGGACTGCTCTGGCAGTCCTGGGCCCCACTTTCTTTCTCTGCACACATAGTGCATATCGCGATCTATGTGTGCAGCCGCGGGCCCCTGGCTCCCTGTTACCGCAGAGGGGGCCCAGGCAGCACACAGCTTCTCCTCTTCTCTTCTTTCTTCTAATAACTCTTGCGAGACCCGGTTACCATGGCAACGCTCCGCGGGTCTCGCAAAAGTTATTAGAAGAGGAGAAGCTGTGTGCTGCCTGGGCCCCCTCTGCGGACGGTAACAGGGAGCCGGGGGGGCCCCCATGCCACCACAGATGGAATCTCCCCCTCCCTGGATACAGGTAAGCAGGGAGGGGGGAGAAACATTTAATTAAATTAATTAAAAATTTATGTTAAAATGCCCCTTCCTCCCCCCAGATTGTACATTTACACACACACACACACACACACACACACACACACTGCATACACTAACACACACTGGATACACTAACACAACACACACTGCATACACTAACACAACACACACTGGATACACTAACACAACACACACACTGCATACACTAACACAACACACACTGCATACACCAATACAACACACACTGTATACACTAACACAACACACACTGCATACACTAACACAACACACACAGCATACACTAACACAACACACACACTGCATACACCAATACAACACACACACTGCATACACCAATACAACACACACACTGCATACACTAACACAAGACACACTGCATACACTAACACAACACACACTGCATACACTAACACAACACACACTCTGCATACACTAACACAACACACACACTGCATACACTAACAACACACACTCTGCATACACTAACACACACACTGCATACACTAATACAACATACACTCTGCATACACTACACACTAACACACTGCATCCACTATACTGACACACACTCTGCATTCACTACACTAACACACACTCTGCATCTGCTACACTAACACACACTCTGCATCCGCTACACTAACACACCCTCTGCATCCGCTACACTACTCTGCATCCGCTACACTACTCTGCATCCGCTACACACTAACACACTCTCTGCATTCACTACACATTAACACTCTGCATTCACTACACTAACACACACTCTGCATCCGCTACACACTAACCCAATCTCTGCATTCACTACACATTAACACACTCTGCATTCACTACACTAACACACACACTCTGCATCCGCTACACACTAACACACTCTCTGCATTCACTACACTAACACACACTCTGCATCCGCTACACATTAACACATTCTGCATTCACTACACTTTAACACACACTCTGCATTCACTACACATTAACACACACTCTGCATTCACTACAAATTTACACACACTCTGCATTCACTGCACTAACACACACACTACATTCATTACACTGACACACTCTGCATTCACTACATACTAACACACACTCTGCATTCACTAAACTATGCATACACTCTGGATTCACTATACTGACACACACTCTGCATTCACTACACTAACATACACTCTGCATTAACTGTACACACAGCATCCACTACACAAACATCCTGTATTCACAGTACACACACTACATCCACCACACATTGAAACACTCTGCATTCACTATACACGCACTACATCCACTACAGACACTGCACCCACTAAACACATTTCATCTAGTACATACAAACACTACATCCACTACACAAACACACACTACATCACTGTACACACACTATATCCACTACTCAAACACACTCTGTGTTCACTATATACACTGCATCGCTACACAAACACACACTCTGCATTCACTGTACAAACAGTATCTAATACACACAAACACTACATCCATTACACATATTCTAATTCAGACTCGGAGTCTGGGACGCCATCGCCATGGGCTAGTCACGCTCACCGCGGAAGATCGGGGCCACCGCCGCGTTGTGCTTCGATTTTCTGCCGCCTCCCGTGTTTCTCCTTGGCTTTAGGGTCAGTACCTGGCTACTAGTCGGTTTTGGGTGTGATTGACCGCTTTTGTACGCTCTTGTTTGCCTGCTTTAGCAGTGCTCTAGCACAGTGGTGCAATTCGCCTCAGTAGCCAGGTGCCGCTCCGGGATGATAAAAAATTCTAATTCAATAATACACAAAATAATTACATCTATTGTTTACTAGATAAATGTTTAAGAAAGTGACCCAAAATGTCCAATAATTTTATAATGATTAATGATATAATATTGAAATCATTAACAATGTCCTGTACTCTTTTGAAGAGTTGTAACAAAACCTGTTCCTTGAGAGATCACCATTTCCATTTAAGAGGTGTGCCTGTATTCCAGGATTTTTGATTCATAATCCGCAGAGCACACCAGATTACTTAATTATATAGTATTTATTCAACTTTTGTATTAAATACTACACGTGGCATGACAAGCTGGATGTTCTTTTCTTATCTGCACTACAAAAATAAATAATAATAAAAAAAAATACTACACATACTCATTTAAATGTCATTATACTTACTCCCAGCTGTTTTGCAGGCTATGTGATTATGATATAACAGATACCTGGATCAGTTGACATATACAAAGATATTCTTGATGTTTCCACTACCAGGGATATTCACTTAAATAAGAATTGTCAGGAATTCAAAGTGAATTTGAAATTTAAACCCTAAATTGCTGAACTAGAAGCATAGGTTCAGACATTTTGACCTTAAATTTGAAATTCCCTGGACAAATCTCACTTTAGTGAATAATCCTGTGAAAGGCCCTGGGGAGATAGCGCAGCTAAGCGGACAAGGGCACATGTATGAGTGTGGGGAGAGATGCGTGGGAGTGTCTTGGAAGTGTGTGTGGGTGGGATAGGGCTATGTGAGCGAGTAGGGGGGAGGTCTTACCTCAGTGCCACTTGGGATTCGGGCCAGTAAACAGCTTCCTGTCTCCTGCTCCTGTTTGCCTGGGCCTGCAGATTGACACAGCCTGAGGTGATGGATATTGAGGCGATCCTGTCGTCCCTCAGGGCTGCTGCTGCGCTGGATGGTGGCCGGCAACTGAGGGAGCAATTTCAGATGATTAGTGGAGGTATGGCTGCCGGTGTGGGCACCCCCCGTGGCCTTCCCTCCCCTGGGGCACCCCCTGTGGTCTCCCCTGCTGCTCCTCCTGCGGTCCCTGCCCCTGGGGGCCGCACCAGCACTGGCAGGCGCTCCCGACCGCCTGCCAGGCTCTCCCCTGATCCTGCTCCTCGGGCCCGGTTGAGGACTGGGAGCCCGGGCCCGAGGCATCGACGGAACCGCGTGTCTGGGGCTCCAGACACGCGGCCTGCCACCAGGAGTGGCAATTTGCGGCCTTCTGCGGCCGCGCGGGTGGCACGGCCTTCAGCCACGAGGCCTGCCACTGCCGCGCGGCCAGCCGCCTCCCCCGCCGCTCGGCCTTCCACTGGGAGGCCGGGGATGCGGCCTACTTCCGCCGCGCGGCCTCCTGTTGCGGCTGCCGCGCGGCCTATCCGAAGATCACCTTCCACACCATCCGCCCCGGCCGCCTGTGCTGGATTGCGGTCCGGTGGCGGTGGGCGGCGGATTTTGCCATCCGGGCGGCGGGCGGCCGCCCGGCAACGATCCAGGTCCCCCCGCGGCCGGCGGGGTGGTAGGGCGGTGAGTAGGCCCTCGCGGGCCGCGCGGGGTACCTTTGTACCGCCGTTGGGGGGTCGGGGGGGGTCTCCTTGCCCGTCGGGAGCCTCCTCTGCCAGTGAGGATGGCTCCCAGGGCTCTGTCTCCCCTCCCTCCCCTGCCCGTTCTTCTATGCCTGGTCCCCCATCCTCCTGTCCTGTCTCTGCCCCCCCCCTTTCTTCCTCTGGTGGGCCTCCTCCCCCTCTCCCCTCTTTTCTTCCCCCTCCCGTTTTTTCTTCCCCCCCCTCTGGTCCCCATCCCTTCCTTTCTGCCTCCCCTCTCTCCTATTCTGCTCCCTCTGCCCTGCCTGGCCCCCCTCCCCCCCCTGCAGGTCACTTACCTCGGCCATCTCCTCTGGGGCATGGGCTCACGTCCTCTCTGCCGCTCTCTTCTCAGGATACTGCTGCAGTACATGGATCCGTCCAGCAGGTGGCGTCTGGTCCTCAGCTGATGTCTTCGGTGGACGCTGGAACTGCAGTTTCATTGCCTCAGCCTTCTGTGAGCGCAGTGCCGGGCTTGGATCGCCAGTCTGCGACCGGTGAGTACCTTATTCCTTCCGTTTCTGGCGCTGCGGGTCCCGGGCTGGGGGGGTTCCTCTTAGGTCTTAGGGTTTTTTTGGATCAGTGGGAAAAAGGGGTGGCAGTTAGCGGTAATACTCTTGATAGTCAGCTCCGGTCAGCGTGGTCCCCAGCCCTGCTCGCTCCTCCGGTTCAGTTTTCCCCTCCTCCTGGGCCCCTACCAGGGTCTGTGGGCGGTGCGGCGCCTCTGAGTTCCCCGGCGCCCGCGGTGGCCAATGTTGGTTCCGCCTCGGGCGATGCTGGTCTCGACGGGGGGGTCTCGGACGTAGCACGGGGTGCTGCTTACATGTGCTGGTCTGGCCCCCTAGGCTTGCACTTGAAGCAGGAGACTAAAGAAAAAATTTGGAAGGGGGAATTTGTGGAAATATATTCTCTTCTGCCGCTGGAGGAAGCTCCTCCCGTGGCGGACAAGGACAGCAAGGAGTCGGAGAAGGATAGGGAGAAATACCGTTTCCGCAAAATTCCCAAGAACTTTGGGAATTGGATTCGGGCGTTCTCTATTTTGGCCAGCGTGGTGGGGGAAAAGTCTCCCCAAAAGTGTTCCGCTCTGTTCTGTTATCAGGACACGATCTGGAACGCTTGTCGCACCTATGGGGGGTTAGGTTGGTGGAGGTACGACGAGCAGTTTCGACAGCGACTGGCAGTGCGTCCCTCGCTGTCGTGGGATCAGATGGATATCGGCCTATGGCTTTCCATCATGACTCGTCCTGCCCCTCAACAGGGTGCGTTTTCGTCTTTTCTTGGGGGGGCCGGTGGGGGCACCTCCTCCTCCTCATCGGCCTCCAGTCAGAGGTCCGGCTGTTGTTGGAAGTTTAATGACAGTCTCTGTAAGTGGGGGTCCTCGTGCCGGTTTAAGCACGAGTGCTCCGGCTGCGGTGGGGCCCATCCCGCCTCACGCTGTTTCAAGCGGGGCAAAACGGGGGAGAAGGGGGACATGGGGGCTAAGGGCGACGACTCCGGTCCTCGTAAACGCGATGCGCCCGTGGCTCGACCTTTATAAGAATCGGGCTGCGGCGCGGATCCTGGTGGATGGGTTTGAGCAGGGGTTTTGGATCCCTTTCGCGGAGCGCCCTCCGCTGCTCTCCGTCCGGAACCTCAAGTCCGTGCGGGCTTTTCCTCAGGTGGTGCGGGACAAGTTGGAAAAGGAGGTCTCCTTGGGTCGGATGGCCGGCCCGTTCTCCACCCCGCCGATGGCGAATCTGCGGGTTTCTCCCTTGGGTGTGGTACCCAAGAAGGATCCCGGGAAGTTTCGTTTAATTCACCATTTGTCGTACCCTCGGGGCGGATCGGTGAATGATGACATTTCCGCTGAACTTTGCAGGGTTTCCTACGCATCCTTTGATGCGGCGGTTCGAATGGTGAGAGCGGCGGGCCCGGGGGCACTGCTGGCTAAGGCGGATGTGGAATCCGCTTTCCGGCTGCTCCCGGTGCATCCGGAGTGCCATCATCTTTTGGGGTGTGCCTTTGAGGGCCAATTTTTTGTGGACATGTGCCTCCCCATGGGTTGCTCGCTATCCTGTTTTTATTTTGAGTGCTTTAGCACTTTTCTGGAATGGGTGGTGCGGAGGGAAGCGGGGGTCGCTTCCCTCCTGCACTACCTGGATGATTTCCTGTGTGTAGGTCCGGCGGAGTCGCACGTCTGTGCTCTCCTGCTGCGGGTTCTCGGAGAGGTGTTTCATCACTTCGGGGTTCCGTTGGCTCGTGACAAGACGGTTGGTCCGGTCACGTGCTTGAGCTTTCTGGGCATCGAAATCGATTCGATGGCTGGGGAATGTCGGCTGCCGCATGATAAGGTCTTGGATCTGCGCCTAGCGGTGTCCCGAGCCCTGGGGCGGCGTAAGATCCAGCTACGCTGCCTGCAGTCTTTGCTGGGGAAGTTCAATTTTGCCTGTCGGATATTGCCAATGGGGCGTATTTTTAATAGGCGCTTGGCGGCGGCGACGTCGGGGGTCGCTCATCCGCAGCATTTTATCCGGCTTACCCGGCCCTTACGGGCTGATTTGGCCGTCTGGGACTCCTTTTTGGCCTCTTATAATGGCAGGTCTTACTGGCAGGCCCCGGAGGTCTCTAATGCGGACCTCCATTTGTTTACTGATGCGGCGGGTTCGGCCGGCTTTGGAGCCATCCTGGGCGCCAAATGGTGCGCTGACTCATGGCCGGAGACCTGGCACGCGGCAGGGCTCACTCGAAATCTGGCATTTCTGGAGCTCTTCCCAATTTTGGTAGCTTTGGAGGTATGGGGTTCCCTGCTGGTGGATAGTCGGGTGGTCTTCCATTGTGACAATTTGGGTGTAGTGCAGGCTATTAACCAGCTGTCTGCTTCTTCCCCCCCCGTGGTTCGCTTGCTCCGACGCCTAGTGCTGCGTTGTCTCGAGCTGAATGTGTATTGTAGGGCTGTGCACATCCCGGGTGTGCGTAATGTGATGGCCGATGCTCTCTCTCGTTCACAGTGGGACGTGTTTCGGGCGGTGGCTCCACAAGCCGAGCTGGAGGGTGTCCCGTGTCCGACAGAGATGTGGTCCTTGGGTCTGACAGACTGATGGAGTTGGTCCGTGGGTCGGTCGCTGCGGCCACATGGGACCGCTATAATAAGGTTTGGAGGGAATGGGAAGGGTGGGAAGGGTCCTGTGGGGGCTTCCGGGACTCATCCTCTCGTCTGCAGGGTTTGGTTCGGCTCTTAGGGGACTGGGAGGCCGCGGGGTTGTCTCCCTCGGCCATATCGGCACGCTTAGCGGGGCTCAGCTTCCTGTTTAAGCTACGGGGTTGGGAGGACGCTACCAAGGCGTTCATTGTCCGTCAGGCTCTGAAGGGCTTGAGGCGGGGGAGGGTGTCGGTGCCGGACTCGAGGCGTCCTGTCTCGGGCACGCTCCTAACTGCTTTGTGTGAGGCGTTGCACCGGGTTTGCCATTCGGATTTCGAGGTTCGGCTGTTTCGCCTTGCCTTTTCCCTGGCATTCTTCGGCGCCATGCGGATTGGGGAGCTGGTATGCCCCAGCCGGCGGCAGGTAGGGGGGGTGTTGTTTGGTGACGTTTCGTGCGGCACTGATCTGATCTCGTTCCGGATCCGCCGCTCTAAGACGGACGTCTTGGGGAGGGGTAAGTGGGTCCGTTTGGGGGCGGTTCCGGGTTCCGGCGTTTGTCCGGTTTGGTCCTTTGGGGAATATTGTTCTGTGCGCTCTTCTCCTGCGCTGCCTCTCCTGGTCCATGGGGATGGGAGTTTCCTGTCCCATTTCCAGTTTGTTAGAGTGTTTCGTTTAGGGCTGGAAGCGATGGGGTTGGATAGCAGGGAGTTCGGGGGCCATTCCTTCCGTGTTGGAGCGGCGACCGAGGCCTCTCGGCTAGGCATGCCAGCGCAGGTGGTTCAGAGGATTGGTAGGTGGGACTCGAGGCGTTATATTTCCTATGTTCGTCCGGCCGGTTTAATGTCATGATTTCTTTTCACAGTTTCGGTTCCCCCCAGGATCTGGATCGTCGGGCACTCTTATGTTTACTGGGCTGGGCAGCGTGCGGCGGTTCGGCCTGGAGGTGCGAGGTTGGGTTTCACGCCTTCCGAAGCGGAAGTTCGATGGCTCGGTGCAAGGGGTATGAGGTGGTCACGGCTCCTCCCCGAGTTAGTGCGGCTGTCTCGTCTCTTAGGGGCGCCGAGTGTCCTGGTGATTCACCTGGGGGGGAATGATCTGGGTTCAGTACCCATCTGGGATTTAATCACGGAGGTGAAGCGGGACTTGGCCCGCATTTTGCTTTTATTCCCGGGCGTGCGCTTGATCTGGTCGGAAGTTATTGCCCGCAATTATTGGCGTGGCGCCAGGAATCAGAGTGCCGTGGAGCGCTGCCGTCGGAAGTTAAACAGGAGGGTTTCCCAGTTGTTTTGGGGGCTCAAGGGCTCCCGGTCCGCCACAGGGTTTTTGAGCGGGAGGCGGCTCATTTTTTCGTGGGGATGGTGTACACCTAACGGAGGTCGGGCTCGACCTTTTTAATCTCGCCTTGCAGGAGGCGGTGGAACAGGCCATGGGTGGTTTTGGTGGGGTTCCCCGCTGATTTAGGGGTAAAGCAGCGGGTTTTGGTGGCGGGGGATGTCCTTGCCAATTAAGTTTGGTTATGTTTAAGGAAGGAATAAGTTCCTTATGTTTGCAGGTCTCAGCCTCCCCTGCTTCAAAAGGTTTAACTTTAGGTTGCCTGAGGTCTCGTGCCCATCGAGCGTGGGTAAAGTCGGCTGATGGCAGGCATTGGAATGATATGTTTTTTATGACGGGGGGGGAGGTGAGAGGCAGTGGTGTTTAGGAACCACTGTAGGTTTATTGGCAAGGACGGTGGGGTCTCTGTATAGCACTGTATGTTAAATTGAGATGTATATATGTTATTTATGATTATTTATTTCTAACAATTTTGTTACAGAAAGAAGAGTTTAATTTATGGAGTTATGGGTGTGTTATACAGTAATTTATTTATGTTCTAATAAATGCTGTGGCCTGTTCATCCATACTACGTTGTCTGTCGTTATTGGGGGGGTTGAATGGGGGTTAAGTATGTTATGTTTCATCGTAATTCCCCACTACGTACATACAAGGCCCTGGGGAGATAGCGCAGCTAAGCGGACAAGGGCACATGTATGAGTGTGGGGAGAGATGCGTGGGAGTGTCTTGGAAGTGTGTGTGGGTGGGATAGGGCTATGTGAGCGAGTAGGGGGGAGGTCTTACCTCAGTGCCACTTGGGATTCGGGCCAGTAAACAGCTTCCCGCCCGCCCACCCCGTGTAGGTTTAGTTAGTCACAGCGAGTCGGGGGGATGTCCTTGCCAATTAAGTTTGGTTATGTTTAAGGAAGGAATAAGTTCCTTATGTTTGCAGGTCTCAGCCTCCCCTGCTTCAAAAGGTTTAACTTTAGGTTGCCTGAGGTCTCGTGCCCATCGAGCGTGGGTAAAGTCGGCTGATGGCAGGCATTGGAATGATATGTTTTTTATGACGGGGGGGGAGGTGAGAGGCAGTGGTGTTTAGGAACCACTGTAGGTTTATTGGCAAGGACGGTGGGGTCTCTGTATAGCACTGTATGTTAAATTGAGATGTATATATGTTATTTATGATTATTTATTTCTAACAATTTTGTTACAGAAAGAAGAGTTTAATTTATGGAGTTATGGGTGTGTTATACAGTAATTTATTTATGTTCTAATAAATGCTGTGGCCTGTTCATCCATACTACGTTGTCTGTCGTTATTGGGGGGGTTGAATGGGGGTTAAGTATGTTATGTTTCATCGTAATTCCCCACTACGTACATACATGTATTATAGCCAGAAACACAGACTTATAGAGAAAAGAAAAAAAAACAATCCAGAGAAGGGATTTATTTAGATTGTATTCAAATACCTTAATTCTATTGACTTCCAGCAGCTGTCAGCCGATATCGAATCCCAACTTTTATCCATCCCTACTTTCTCCTGTCCCTCACGGGCTATCTCTTAAAGGACCACTCTAGGCACCCAGACCACTTCAGCTTAATGAAGTGGTCTGGGTGCCAGGTCCAGCTAGGGTTAAACCATTTTTTCATAAACATAGCAGTTTCAGAGAAACTGCTATGTTTATGAATGGGTTAAGCCTTCCCCCTAATCCTCTAGTGGCTGTCTCATTGACAGCCACTAGAGGCGCTTGCGTGCTTCTCACTGTGATTTTCACAGTGAGAGCACGCAAGCGTCCATAGGAAAGCATTATGAATGCTTTCCTATGTGACGGGCTGAATGCGCGCGCAGCTCTTGCCGCGCGTGCGCATTCAGCCCGAGGAGGAATGGAGGAGGAGGAGGAAGGAGGAGAGCTCACCGCCCAGCGCTGGAAAAAGGTAAGTTTTAACCCCTTTCCCCTTCCAGAGCCGGGCGGGAGGGGGTCCCTGAGGGTGGGGGCACCCTCAGGGCACTATAGTGCCAGGAAAACGAGTATGTTTTCCTGGCACTATAGTGGTCCTTTAATATAACACTACCCTCACCTCTGCCCTGGATGCTGCAGCCCCGCTTCGAACATGCACATCGAGGAGAGGATACGCCCCAACCATGGCATATTAAATCAACATGCTACCTGCAGAGATGCTGAATCTCGCACCCAGTCAGACTTCCTCTACTACAAATTAATCTTGTGTTCATACAACGCAGTCCATTGCCTTGCCAAACAGTCATACTTTTCATCTCTCATTAGCTCATGCTCTTGCAATCCCAGGCATCTCTTTGATAACTTTAACTCTCTTCTTTGACCTGCTGTGGCAATCCCCCAAACTAACCTTACAGTCGAAAGCTTTGCATGCTACTTTACCAACAACATTGAACAGCTAAGGAAAGAATTCTCTGTCTTCCCCTTGCCCCTCTCTTTCTCAACCACACCTGAATCATGCCTTTGCTACCGTTCAGACCTTCTCCCAGAATACTGAACATAAGGTGGCTGCACTTCTCTTTTCCTCTCGCCCCACCACTTGCCCGCTTAATGCTGTCCAGTCTCACCTTATCAGATCTCTCTCCTCTTGTTTTGTCACCTTTGAGTCAGTCTGTTGTCAAATCCTGCCGATTCCACCTTAAAAACATACGCCTCCTTCTTACCCAGGATGCTACTAAGGAGCTTGTCTAAGCTCTAGTAATCTCTCACATGTACTATTGCAATGTCTCCTAATTGGTCTTCCCAGAAGCCGTAGTGCCCCGCTGCAATCTGACTGATTTTCCTCTCCTCTCACACGTCTCCCCTCTGTCAGTCCTTACATTGGCTTCCTGTATCCTGTAGGAGTCATTCCAAAGTACTAATCCACACCTATAAAGCACCGAACAACTCTAGCTCCTCTTATATCCTTTCACTGATATATAAGTATGCCCCTTCTCAGTCTCTCTGCTCTGCCCATGACCTTCTCCTGTCTGCTACCCTCACACATATGGCCAACCCGCGCTTGCAGGACTCCTTGCAAGTGGCTATTTTCCTTAGGAAAAAGCCTGGCTACCACCATCAGACTCTTCTCTAATCTTCAATTGTTTAAGAAGTACCTCAAACCCCATCTCTTCGGGAAAGCTGATGGCCTCCCAGAGTAACCTCTACCTCACATACCTGTCCCTTGCTCTTTCCTAAAGTATAGTACTCCACTCCCTCCTCCAGCTCTGCTTCACTCCTACCTTGTTTGATTACAATATCCTGTCCTATTGTGTTTTATAAACCACCTCCTCTAGACTGTAAGCACGTTTGAGCAAGGTCCTCTTTAACCTATTGTTCCTGTAAGTTTTTGTAATTGTCTTATTTATTGTTAAATCTCCGCCTCTGATAATATCGTAAAACGGAAAATGCTGGCCCTATATAAATAATAATAATAATAATAATAAAAATACCTATTACTAGTTTTAGTCTGAAACCCAAGACACACCATAGATCATGCATCAGCACGGAACCTCACAAGAAAGTTGGGAGTCGAAATGAATGTTCATACATACAGAACAAATATTTGCAAGCTCAGATGAGAAAAAATAAATAAAAACTCTTCTAATCAACTATAGTGCAATTTGGCAAATTGCTATTCAATGCTTGTAAGTTTATTGCTCAGCTCACCTCTGTAAAATTACAAAACAAGACCTTTCACTTCAAAACATTTATTAAAGCTTCAAACTTTAGTATTTGACACATTATGAATATGAGTAACTGTTTGCAACGGACTAAAAGATCAGTCAAAGCAATGGCTATTTGTCAACATAGGAAAGTCACATATAAGAAATGACACTTAAATCTTTCATCCACAGCAGCACTAGATATCAGACACTTTTGTTTTATCATATGATAGCAGCCAAAGTAAACTGAACTGCTGATAGCAGCTAAACATTCCTGTTTGCTCTCCAGCAAGATCACTTACACCCAAGAGCATATTATCAGTGGTATGAGTGGCTGTGATAAGAAGCTCTTTAAGTTACTTATGACATCAACTGAATTGGTTCTCATCCGCAAAGCTATTTGAGAAAGCTGCTTACAAGATAGTTAGGCCACACTGCCTGCTGATTTCACATTCTGGTTTACAATCTATATCTGTACATTGTGTGTGCTAAGGCTATCTACCTGTACTCAATCTGTATTTTCTATCTGCAAGCTGAGGTTCCAGATGTGACCCTAGTAACAATACATATGGGGGCTCTAATAATTTCCACCACCAAATCACAGTAGTAGTGCTAGCAGGTCTGTAGTCGTAGCAGGGGGCTGTAGTGAGCATAGGGGACAAAGGGCTGCCGTAGGTTCATTGGGTAATAGGGGTGTAGTTGATGCATGAGGTAATAGGGGCTGTAATGCTTGCAGGGGATAATGGGGACTCTAGTAGGTGCAGGTGAGATAGGGGCTATAGGGGGTAATATAAACTGTTGAGTGATACATGGGCAATAAGCACTATAGTGGGTACAAGGGAGATAGAGGTTATAGGGGGTAATAGGGGAGGTATAAGGTAATATAGGCTCAAATGGGGGCAGGGGAGATAGAGGGTAATAAGGCTTGTAGCGAGTGAAGGGGCAATAGGGGCTATAGGAGGTAATAGGAACTGTAGTGGGAGCAGGGGAGATAGAGAGTAATATAGGCTCTAGAGGGGGGAAGGGGAGATAGGGTCCATAGGGGGTAATAGAGGCTGTAGTGGGTGCAGGTGGTAATGGGACTGAAGTGATTGCAGGGGGTATAAGCAGGGGTCAAGTCCTGGGGAAAAAAAGTGTGGGAACTCACCCAAGATTCCCTCCTCCCTTCCCCCTTAAAAAAAAAAAAGAATTACACTCCTATGCATATATTGCAGTGCAGGGTGTGTATAATGAATGTTGTGTGTTTGTAGTGAATGCAGAGTATGAATAATAAATGTAGTGTGTTTGTAGTGAGTGCAGTGTGAATAATAATTGTAGTGTATTTGTAGTGAGTGCAGAGTGTGTATAATGAATGCAGTGTGTTTTAGTGAGTGCAGAGTGTGTATAATGAATGTAGTGTATTTGTAGTGAGTGCAGTGTGTATAATAAATGTAGTGTGTTTGTAGTGAGTGCAGTGTGTATAGTGAATGC